CCCCCTGTATACTACACAAGGCAGGACGCCCCTCATTACCCCCTGTATACTACACAACGCAGGACGCCCCTCATTACCCCCTGTATACTACACAAGGCAGGACGCCCCTCATTACCCCTTGTATACTACACAATGCAGGATGCCCCTCATTACCCCCTGTATACTACACAAGGCAGGACGCCCCTCATTACCCCCTGTATACTACACAACGCAGGACGCCCCTCATTACCCCCTGTATACTACACAAGGCAGGACGCCCCTCATTACCCCTTGTATACTACACAACGCAGGAAGCACGATGAGGCTCAAACTTGACCCGATCCAAAATATTCTCACACGACTGGAAAATCGTCCCAAAAAGGGCAAAAAAATCGTACAGTTCATGCCCAGTTTAACAAACAAATACTTCCTCTGCATGTCGCAGGAAATTGTTTCCACCTAAAATGATTATTACATGTTTTCCTCCTCTGAATTCATAATTAAAAACTGTACTGCTACTATTTGAGTTTTTGTCAGGAACTAGAGAGAGTTATTGTTAGCATTCCATGGTAACGTGTCATTCGTCAGGGAAAAAGGCGAGTTTAAAAGTCGGTTAAAGATGCAACTGTCTTACATTTAACCCCGTGAACATTTGCAAAAGCTCATCCCTATTGCTGTGTCTTTCACTCTAAATACATTTCACCTCTTTATCTTTCCCAGGTGATGTTTTCCTTCGAAGCCGGACGCCGATGCGACTCGGGCCCTGGCAATTTTACCTTCGATACAAAGCAAGGCAACGAGATCTTCAGTTTGGTAGACCTGGCCATCCAGGCGCAGAAGGCTCAAGTAGAGGAGCGCCATCTCAGCTGCCCCCAGAACTTTGACACCGACGGCTCTTTGTCACTGCAACACATACGGAGTGCGGTTCCTGGCTGCGGTCCGACAGCGGCAAGTGGAGACAGTAGTAGCTGCAGCAGTCGGGAGGCGGACGGCGACTCGGGCGGCAGCAAGCCGGGCTCTGCTGATGGAGTGCTTGGAAAAAGGGAGGGAGGTGATGGAGGAGGCAAAGGACAGGGAGTCGGAGGAGGACTCAAAGGGAGAAGTTTGCCTGAACCCCCATCTCTTAGAGGACCAGCAGGGAAAGTTGTACTCCAGCTTGATGAGCAGGCGAGCTTTTATTCTGAGCCAGCAGATTCTGTCCGTTTGCTCATTCCCAGCTGTGATGGCCTTTATTCAGACCCAGTGGACACCATCAAGGGTCAGAACCCATCCTCACCACCTGTGCCCACTCCACGCCTTCGACCTGTGGGAGACGACGCCTCAGGCGGGGATCATCATCCCGCAGGAAGCAACAACAAGAAGGTTCCAGACCTGTATTCACATTTGTATGACCATATAGGCATGGACCTGAGTCAGAGGACAGGCGCACTGAATCTGAATGGGGCTGCCGGAGGAGGAAGAGGTGGCGGAAAGGGGGTTATAAGTAACAAAAGACCTCCAGGAGGTCAGGGAGAGGGGGCCTCACCACCTGCTGGGCCTTCTGTGGATCACATATATGATGAACCAGAAGGCTGCGCCAAAGGAAGCAGCAGCCTTCCCATCAGCCTTAGCATGAGCGTTTATGACGAGGCCCGCTTGGAGCCTCAGCGCCAGAGGAGACAGGACGAAGCAGAGGCAACTTATGACACCGCATACCTGGGGAAGCCGTCAGAGCACCAAAAACTCTCTCCTAAGCTGCTGGGTCTAAGTCGTGGATCGCCGCAACCTCCAACACCAAAGTTTCCCAAACCTGCTACCGCCCCCAAGCCACACAAGGGAGCATTTGCCCGGAAGGAGCCGGTGCCTCCTCCCTCAGGTAAACAAGGGGGTTCTGGTAGTAACATGAACAACAACAACAATATCTGGAGCTCCGGAGGAGGAGGCGGGAAGGAGCTGTACAGCAAAGTGTCTAAACAGAAGCCTCCTCCAGCTCTGACGTGGTGTAATAGGAACCACCATGCACCCCTGAGAGCACCTGATATAATTTATGACAACTTGGGAGACATTTGACTACTTAAATATGACTTAGATTTAAAAACAAACCTTAACTCTCTTGCTCAAAAAAAGAGAAGCTTCAGAGTAAATGCTGGGCGACTAAGATGTTTATCGTTTCATATTTGTTCCATTTGAGGGCGGGAACAGTCCAGGTCACTTGGTCTGGAGTGGGTCAGCTCACAACTATGAGAAAACCACATTATGGGCGCCATTTCAAATGTGGCATGCAGTGATTGCGGGGCCACCCTGTGTGCGTGTCATAGCGAGGGAGAGTGTTTGCCTGGGCAAAGCCATAATTGGCGCCTCAAGCCACAGTGCGGCCGGAGCCAGCCACCTCACTCCAACACACACAAGCAAAATGGATTCGCCTTCACTTTAACAAGCTGAAAGAGAGGGAAAGTGACTTGGTTCCTTTTTTTTCTGCTGTGCTCATGAAAAAACAGATTTTTTGCACTGTGCCTCTTCTTTGTCGTTGAACTTTGTAATGTGAAACAGAGAATGTGATGGTCGGGAGTTGATGGTTTGTGAGCAGGACTTAAGCAGAAGAAGATCTTTGGGGATTTTTGGGGGGTTTCCTAAGATAAAGCTGGACGGGAGTCCTTTTAGGATAGGAAACAGGGAATTGGTCAGAAGCTCTATGCATGTTTTGTTGAATGGTTTGTCATCAGAGACCAGTAATGGAAAAACTAAAATCAAGTGATTCTTTGATTCTTAAGTTTATGACAAAAACGTATGAGTTACAAGCTGTTTTTCTTGTTTTACGCCATTTTACTTATCTAAATTGATATAAAATCTTTAGGAGGAGTTGTTTCACCCTGTGATGTTTCACCCTGTGATGTCACTTTCCATATAAGGTATTTGTGTGTTCCGTTTCAACATTGACCTCAGACAGAATGAAAAAAAGGTTGTTTTCTTTTATTATTTTTGGCCAAATTTATGAGCATTTTTATTTAATTTTACATTTTCTTTTGTATTTTATTTCGAGGAGATACAACTTGCATGACAACAGTTTATTGAAGAAAATGCAACCTACACTCACAGTTAACAACTGTCTTAATATATATGTATATATGTATTATTTAGAAAAATATATTTGAGGAAAACTTATTTTTACACCACAAACAATAAAAGCGGCTTGTATTTTGATCTGATAATAAGGTAAAGTAAATCAAAAAATCAAATATTCACCTCCAGTTACCAAAACATGCATGGACTCAAGATTCCTGGAAGCTCCAGATGAACTGAATATCAAAACTAATCAAACTTTAATAATGTGTCGGTTTGTGTCTACGTGTGTCAGAAACAGCTGCGCTGTCTGTAAATGTATCTGATAATAAAACTGGCTTCAAAAGCTTAATATATTTCCTGAAACTGGGTCTTTGAAAAGAGAATCATTTCTTCCCCTCAATGTTTTGGTCCACAAGCCAATCAAGAGTCTGTTATTCGTGTCGAAAAAGACTTTTCTGTTCTGGCGCGACCGTGACAGTAAAAACAGTCTGACCTCATCCTCCACTTCTCTTCCTCCACTCTGTTTTTGTTGTTTCAGTCCGTTTCCAACCACTTAATCGCACCGTTAAAGCGTAGGGTCCAAAAAAGAAAAAAAGAGAAAGAAAAAAAACCCAAACAAAGACGTTCTTTCTTACTTTTCTTCCTACTCCTTTTCTCTGCAGCTAATTGTGTTGTTTGGTTGCTCAGGCTACAGATAATGGCGGCTGGTTTGTGTCCGACTCGCCACGCATTTTAACTGCAGTGAGAAACTGTTGGGGAAACTAATATAGTGAAAACTCAAAGAGAGAAGAGATTTTTTTTTAAAGATGTTTATCCCTGATTTGAGGTGATGAATGCTGGTTGGATGGTTGAACCTGTCTGTGTCTGCTTGGCTCGTAGACGGGTACAGACTGTTCCATTTACTGCTTTTCTTTCATTCCTGCTCCCTCTCTTTTTACGTCCTTTTCCTTTCCCTCACCTGCTGCTAGAATACTTCCAGCACAGGCGAAGAAGCTGATTACATCTCTCCTTCTTTTACAAAGTGAGGATGGAAAAAAGGAAGCAAGCTTCTGTCTTTCTCATTAAACTATCTTTGAACTCACTGGGGAAGAGAGAAGGAACTGTGGGTAGATACAACTTTGCACTTTATCTTTTACTCGTTTAAACGCTTCCTTGTTGGAATATCAATCTGTAAATGTGTACACAGGTTATTTACACATTTACAGTCTCTGTTTCAGGATGAGGAAGACAATTTCTAAACAAGGGTAATAAAGCCATCCTTGTAATAAGGAAGCCTGCATGACATTATTTCAACTACTGGCTTTAACTGCAGCTTTATCACAACTGAGTGAATGAAAGTTATCTCCTACAGAAGTGGATTTATTGCTTTACTGGTTTTGTAAAGTGCTGAAAGGTTCCTCTAAATGTACAGGACATTTTAAAATTATTAATACAGAGTAAACTCTAGACTAGACTGACTTATTTTATTTTCATAGAGATCATGGTCTTCACAGACCATGTGACAAACAAACACAAAGATGAAAGGAAGATCCTGCTTCGTTTAGGTAAATGTTTTATAGATCAATTCCAGCTCCAAATCTTTTTAAGGTAAACTTCCACCACCTTTGCACATCTACATACTGAATTTCTGCCAAAGACAAGGTAAGGCACTGGCCGATTGGATAGAGATCTTCTATTCACATCATTTTTCAAGTTCTTCCATCGATTCCTATCCTGATTTAGGCCTGGACTTTGACTAGGCCAATATAATGAGCTTTGATTTAAAGAAACTATTTCCAGCTTTTATCAGCATTTTAAAGTCACCCATAGGCAAATATATGATGAAATAATGCCTTTAGAACTAAATATTATTAAATATTTATTCGAGAGGAGTCAGTTGAGGTGGCTCGGACATCTTCTTCGGATGCCCCCAGGACGCCTCCCTCGGGAGGGGTTCCAGGCACGTCCCACCGGGAGGAGGCCCAGGGGACGACCCAGGACACGCTGAAGAGACTATGTCTCTTAGCTGGCCTGGGAGCGCCTAGGGCTTCCCCCAACAGAGCTGGAGGAGGTGTCAGCGGAGAGGGAAGTCTGGGAGTCTCTGCTTAGTCTGCTGCCCACGCGACCCAGTTCCGGATAAACTGGGAGACGACGAGTACAAGTATGAGTATTGAAAAATTAGTTGTGCTCTTCCAACCTCAAAGAAAAACACTTGACTTCGAAGCGAAGCTGCTTCTCGTTGTCTTGGTGCCATCCATTTTATGATGTCGTCGCCGCAGACTACCTCTGAAGGCCAAAGTCCAAGATAACTGAAATCCAACAAAAATATATGAAGATGTCAAACTGTGTGGATTAGCTGCTAAAAGAGCAACTTCCCCTCAACTTTCAGCCTTAAATATCCCGCTCTGCCTGACATCAGCCTTCCCTGATCAGAGAAAGTCTGGGTTCATTTACAGTACAGTGCTGGCACGGTAGGTGCTTCCTGAAGGGGCTTCTTATGTAGTTATTCTTCAGGACAGGGAGTGGCTAATGCTCAGACACCAGGAGTTAAGGGGATTAGCAGGAATGGCCTCACAAATTCCAAATAACTGATTTTGCATGATATTGCCTTGCTGGAAGGTAAACCTCCACAATCCCAGACTGAATTCCTTTTTTAGCTTCTAACAGGTTTTCTTAAGGGTTTTTCTTGCATTTAGTTCCATTTTCCCGTAAACTTTGACCAGTTTTTCTCTACCCGCTAAAGAAAATCTTCCCAAACAGAACAATGATGTGAGGACAGTGTTGTTTCCCAGGTGTCTGCTGTTTTCCTTACACCAGCGGTCCCCAACCACCGGGCCGCGGACCGGCAGCGGTCCTTGGGTGATTTGGTACTGGGCCGCACAGAACAAAGTATCAACGATCAGAGTCTGAGTGATGTTTTATATTGAAAAATATAAAAAATTGCGGTATTCTCTCCCAATTACATCAGTCGGTGCATCTGTGCCTCTTGACACAGGTTAATTCAGTTCAAGACTCATCCCATCTATAACATCCTATCTTTGTGAAGCGGGATTTTCTGCGGTTACAGCGACCAAAACAAAGCTACGGAGAAGACTGGACATCAGGAGCACACTTCGTCTGTCATTTTCTCTGATTAAGCCTAGATGGGACCGGCTTGTTGTTTTATTTTTATGCTGTTTGTATTTGATTTTATGCCAGTCGTATTGGACCAAATCTGTATTGGATTATTCAACACATACTGGTTCTTTAAACACAGCTTGTGGGTTGTGGTCACGTTCAGTGGGTTCAACGCTTTGTACCACATGTCTGATACAAAAACCCAGACTGATCTAAAGGGCAATGAGTATAAAAAAAACTCAAATTCGTATGAAGTTGTTTTTATTCTCTGGGTTCTCTGTTAACAATATGATCAGTAAAACTGTACAAATACGCAAGTTATAATATGCTAAAAACTAAGGAAAAAGACATAATCTTAATGTAAATAAATAAAAAAAATATTTTTAAGAAACCAGATTTCCATTCTTATCCAGACTTAGTAATTAATCAAAATTCTTAAAATAGTTTTAGCCGACTTGTTAATTTAACGGAAGGAAATTAATTCATTCCAGTTCCTGTTTTGTTGAAGCAAAAAATATCTAAGAAATATGACTGCCACTGTTTATTAATGAAAAAAATAAATTTCTTTAAAAAGATTTGCACAAAAACATCACGTCTTTGAGTTCAAAACTTCTGTTTTGAAAAACTTTAGTTTTTTAGTTTAAGACTTCTCAAATGATCCCATTTTCAATGAAAGCTTATATTTGATTTTGTTGTTTTATTTAATAGAAATACATTTTAGAAACCTGTTTTTCACTTGGAGGTGATTCAGTTGTAATAACTAAAAGCTATAAATAAAGAAATAAAAAAAACAAACATATATGACTTATAAATATAAAGTTACATTTGGATCCGGTTTTGAAACTGAATTAAAAACTTGTCCTTTGTTGTATACAACAACGTTGTTTGTTGTATTTATTTATTTTTTTGCAGGATCAGGGTTTTACAGGGGGTTGCCCATTAGAGTTGGGTAATTTCCTGATGTCCAAACTTATTACAGACATCTTGTGACTCAGTGTGTCAAACTTTTTAAAGCTCTTTGTTCTTCCTGCAGTTTCCTTCACCTTTCGTGATGCCAACAGTAGAAACACTATCCTGGGTTGGAAAGGAACTCCAGACTGCTGTGCTAATCCAGACAGTGTTGAGCTTTACTGATATTGTTGTGGAATTAAAATGCACATGTGATGATAGAAGTCAAAACCTGACCACAGCCCTCCAAAAAAAATAAAAATAAATAAGCTATTATAAAACTCAGCACATAAGGTGTGTATTCCCATTCCCATGGACATTTGAATTGCGAAAGCTTCCTGGAGAGGTGGCGAAACGTCTTCAAATCTTGGAAACCAAGTCCAGTGGATTTTTTTGTTTTGAACTTTTACGAAATGACTATGACCTGGATGGCTGAGAATCTTCATCAGCATATAAGGTGTGTATATTTGCATGTCATACAGAATACATGTGAAGAAATGATGCATTGCTGTTAAGCTGTGGGAGATGGGCTGTGCCTATACGTTCATTCAAGTCATATATCTTCTAAGTGCCGGATAGGATCATTGGAAACTCCCTATGCTAGATGAACGAAAGGATAGGAACCATCCTGCATCCTTTTCCTATGCGGACAGCACTTATCAGGGCAGATACACTTCAACTTCGGCTGAAGTTTCCTTACTAATTTGCCCAAGCCTGATTTAGCACACTAGTCTCAACTGGACTTCCTCTTAAAATGAATCAAACAAATTCATGTGACAGCCGAGGGAAAGTTTCACTTTTTTATGATGCACTGTAATAAATACTAATGAATTTTAATGCATAATTAGCAATGCATAAATAATGTAAATAAATATATATTTTTATATTCAATATAGAGAAACTAATCTAATACATTTTAGATAATTCATCTCAGTGTATCTGGAGATTCATCTCCTAGTATGTGTTGTAGTACATAAATATGTATTCTATTATTACATTTTTAATTAAATACTTTTTGGACTGTCTTATGATTTCCTGTGAACATACAACCAAATAGCTATATGTTAGGACAACAGTTTAGAGTGTGATTGGAACTCAAGTAATGGTCAAATTATTCTCACATATGGAATAAATGTATAACTTTCATTAAAAATATAAGAATTTATACACTAAAATAATTCAGCTTCAGGTTAAACACACATCAACAACTCTAAACCAAGACAGTGGATTTTAACTTAAGTGAAGAAAATGACAACTGACAATCCATCCATCCATCCATCCATCCATCCATCCATCCATCCATCCATCCATCCATCCATCCATCCATCCATCCATCCATCCATCCATCCATCCATCCATCCATCCATCCATCCATCCATCCATCCATCCATAAGCCTATCTCTGGCAGTCACTGGGCCAGAGGTGGGGTACACACTGGACATGTTCGCCAGTCTATTGCAGACAACTAAAAATGGTCATAGCCATTACCATTAGATTATGCATTCACTGTTAAGCATGTATTTTATGTATGAGAACCTATCTTGATGGATTTTTTATAAGGTCATATTAACTCTTAAAACCAATTTAGAGAAATTAAAATGTGTTCAAACCATTCACAAAGCCAATTTAAGAGGTACATATAAAACATATATCTTGGTAAGAAATTTTTAAGAATTACTTTCCTAATCAGAAATCCTGCACCGTTTAGATAACTGATAGTGATTAGTGTTATGTCATTATTCCAATAGAAAGGGAAATATTTTTATGGCAGTGGAGCTACAGAGAGGGCTCAAGCTTACAGTTTGGAAGAATATTGGGTCAATCAGTGTTTAATATGCCAGCCATGTAAATATTTATTTCATGGCTATACGTCACACACCTCACTAAGCTGAAGCTGCATTTTGGACTGAAACAGTAAACTTGAAACTTGTTCCCCCATTTCTTTTAGTAATTTCATCAAACATTGTAATATATAACTTTATGTCTTCATACTTTAATTGTCATATCCACCCATCCATTTATGATGAAAGTCTTGTGTGTGTCACTAGTGCTCCACAAGGCGCAAATACACCAAAGAGAAAATTAGAGATTAATCTATCTTAGACCATGAATGGGAACCTTAAGTATTAGAGAGAACATTGGGAGAGTATGACGTCAAAAGCTCATATTGTAATGACTTACAACATAGGGACCCAGTATTTAGACAAGACGGACAGTGGGATAACTTCAAGGTGTTTATTTAAAAACAGGATGCATCTAAGACAGGAATGTCTATAGGAGAGAAACACAGGTTAGTAACCACAATAATCTGACGGAGGATAATTATGAACAAATGAACAAAGTCAAAAGGCAGATCTAGGTGCAGTACACGGAAAAATCCAACAGGATTCCGAAGACAGGTCAGACAAACAGATCAGAAAGGGGCAGGCAGACTCAAAAGTCAGAATACAGAAACAGGTCAGGATCATACCAAGCCCCCTGGGTGTCAGGGTAAAAAAACAAAAAAAGCCGGTGGAAATCCATGGGCACGGATTGAGAAACTGTGCTCTCGGTTTATTATTCTGTGCCTGCGGATTGAGAAACTGTGCTCTCGGTTTATTGAGAGCACAGATTAATAAACTGAGAGCACAGTTTCTCAATCTGCACACACGGATTGGAAAACTGTGTGTTCAGTTAATCAATCTGTGCCCACGGATTTCCACCAGCTTTTTTTTTTCTTTCTTTTTTTTTACCCTGACACCCAGGGGGCTCCGTAGGATCAAGCAAACAGTACACTATAGTAACACTCGAAAACTCTCTAAACCAAAGGCTCAAGAGTAATCTGGCACTGATGGCTGGGCTTAAATAGAAGCAGGAGCAGGTGGATCAGATGATCAATGATAAGAGACAGGGCAGACCTAGACAGGTGAATGAAATGAGCAATCAAACCAGCCATCAGCACCAAATTCATGAAATATATAATAACTGACTTATATCTTATTTCATGTACCCTCATATTGACTGATTAGAGCCTGGTCAACTTAGACTCAATGTTTTTATCGCTCTATAACTTTGTATCTTTTCAACTGTGTAGACCTTTCACACTTCTGTCAAGCAGCATAGCACCTATTGCACCACTGAGCTGAATTCAGACACATCCATGTGTGAAAATGGATAAACCCTACATCTGGTAGAATAGAAGTGAGAGAATAAATTCAGTTACTGCTGCCACTTCTCTCTGAAGAATTGAGTAATATGTGTGAGC